CCCCCCCCCCCCCCCCCCCTGTGGCCCATGCATCAACCCGATATGCAAGAACAAAAAACCAAGCGTGAAGTGTTGGATCGGTCCTGCTTCCCGCTCGTTAAGCTTGGTACCGCCGGCGAGATATGCTGCCTTTTTTCACTGCACTGAGCATGTTCGCGCTCGTCCTCACGTCAATCGCCTGCTGTTGCCCGCTTCTGATGCAGGGTAAGGAGGACGGATGCGCACCACTTCGCGGTGTGCGGCATCAACCCAGACCAGGCGGCGAGAGGAGGGGGCGAATGCACCCCCCAGGGTATGCCGAGGAGGCAGGGCTTCAAGTTTGGTAATGGGCGGCGGTTGAGTCTCTAGTAAATATTTGTCAACGCCGGGAGCAGCAGCAGCAGCGAGCGTTCTTCTTGCGGATGTATGTTATTAAATCTCGAGAGGAGACTTGTGATGGCCGGGAGTAATACATCCTAGTATATGACAGGTGAGATTGTTTAGTGGTGCAACTTCGAAAGCAGAGTTCCTTGTTTCTTGCTGGGTGTGTTTTGTTTGTGGCTTCGGAAGCGGACGCGACCACGGACTCTGCCGATTGATTTCCGGGAGCTTTTAGTTGTTTGTCGGGGATTTTCAAACATCACTCGGAACGACGACGATGTGTGCTGGTATGAGTTTTCGTGCTTTCAGATCGTGTTGTTCCACAGGCGAGGACGTACGTACGTAGTTGGGTGTTGACAAGCAGTGGCGCTCGAATGTATGGTGTTTTTTCTTACAATAGATCTCTCGATTCTTTTTTTTTTTGTTTTGTACGATTGCAACCACCAAGAGAGAGAGAGAGACGCCGCGAAGGCGCAAGCAAGAGTGTGGAAGAGTTGGTGTTGGATGCAGACACGGGGAGAAGGAGCTCAATCTCTACATGTTTTGTACGCGAAACCTCCCTTGAGAGGAGAAGAAGCTGGGGTCTTCTTCGAGAATTGTTATTGTTTGGAGAACAAGATGAAGAGGTTGAAAGTGAAAATCGGCGTTTTCTTTGGTGAAACCCCTATGGAGGAGGGTGTCAATACTTGGAGGGAGATTTTACGCTTGACGGCCCCCCTCTTGCAGGGCAGAGAGGCGGTCATTGTATTTAGCACGGGGGGAAGACCTTTTCATGGATGCCTTTGCGCACGGGCGTTTCTTGACGGCTTGCTGCGGGAGGGTTGTCATTCTGTAGTGAAGATGGATCATATACACAAATTACAAAATAGACGCGTGGGGGAATTCTCCGAAGCACACCAACAGTGCTCGGGAAATATTACCAAGAGTGAGGATTAGAGTCAATAGAGCTGCTGTAGATGTGTACATGTGTACACGAAAAACGCGAGGTGCGCGAGAGATGGGTAACGACGCAGCGGTTTCGCCATCATCGACGTGGTTGTCTTTGCAAGCGTTCATTTTAGAAGTGATGTGGTAGTCTGCGGGGAAGAGAAAAGTAGAAGGTGCAGCGTGGAGCGAGGCAAGGAAGGGTAGTCCGGTGACTATTATATTGTGCCACATGGGGGCCTTGTTGTGCGCGGTTGCTTCATCTTCTGTGTGCACCGAGGGATGTTGAAGGCAAGGATATAAGAGCGAGCTTATCGCAAGCCGTGTCGCTGCCGCATGTTCCACCTTTCGGATCAATAAAGAAGTCCCGTCCCAACGTGCGTAGTTTCTTTTCACGCTGGCTGGCAAAGATTTGGTGCATTCAGAGCGTTCTCTCTGTGTCGCGACGGCGGGGATTGGGTGGCTGTCATCTCTAATTGGAACCGTGCGCCTTGAGCAGCGTGAAATTCGGGTAGGGCGGTTTTCTAGGAACGGGCGAGCTAGCTTCCCTAGTACGGGCGAGCCTTCTTTGCGGGAACCGTATTTTTCCCGACATTTTCTTGTTCCTACACTTGTGTGAAGTAGATGGCGTATGCTTTAGTTACCGTTGACCACACTACATGAAACGGGCTACCCCCAATGAAACCAAAGGGGGTCGTGTCCGACCTGACACTGTAACACGATGAAGCTTCTCGGCGGGGGGGGTCTCCCGATAGGAGGACCCCGCGGCGGTGATGGGGTGACAGATTCGTGCTGGTGTCCATGTGCGTTTTTTTTTTTTTTGTAGTTATCAAGCGCGCGTGTGAAACCGGCTGACCAAAGGGCAAAAGTCTCAGCATGTGTGTGTGCCTGCTTGTGTCTTTTGTTAGCACTGGCTGCGTTCGTGTGTGTTGTATGCGTCACATCGGTGAATGAATCTCTCCCGTAACAAAAACGGTTGGACCAAAGTGGCGGTCGCAGGGCAGAAGAGGGTCGTACACCGCAACTGACACGAAATAGTACCAGTGTAAATGTGGATAGATAGGTAAAGGTTGTACAGATGCCTCCAGTCATTTCCAAGGGTCGCATTTTGGGCTCCTTCCTTCCCCCCCCTCTTTTCGGAATGGACTATGTTTTGGGTGAGTTCGGCGGACGGGCCGGCGGGCGTCGTTTGCGACGGGCTCCCTGACTGCGTGTTATCCTCACAGAAGTAAGCCAGCCAGTCAGCCGCGAATCACAGGGCCCGGACGGAAGAATCGCTTTTCGTGTCAAGCTCGCAACGTTACGTTAAGGTGCGTGGCGTGGTACGTTAGTGTTGGGACTGATTTGACTCGGTGTGCGCTATGTATCTACCGTGTCTTGTTGGTCTGTGCGTTGTTGCTGGACGTACACTTTGTTTTCCGTTTTCACCCTCGAGAGAGGGAGGGGGGGACTTCCGTTTTTGTGTGTGAAGAAAAGTTACGTTTCGGGGAGATCGCCTTGTGATGACGGGGTCTCACCTCTTCGCCCTGGAGGATGCTGAAGAGGATGTGTACTCGACCGCTGCAGCAGAAGCAGCCCCCCTTTTTTTCTTTCTGCGAGAATGCAACCATTATCTTGTGTTTGCGCGGCTGGCCTCGCGTGTCGAGAGGGAGCGATGTCTCTGTGTACCGATCCCGCGTATTCGAGATCTCCTTTGCACGTTATGTCACCTGCTGCTGCCATGTCGATTTCGGGGTTGGTTCTCCTCTGGTGAAATGTTATTTATGGCTCCTGCTGCTGCTGCCCCCCCCCCCCTTTTTTTTTCGCGTAATCTTGTTTGGCATCATTTTAGTTGGACCAGTAAATGGTGTTTGAAGGGAGACCAATACCGCGCAGAAATAGTAATAATGGGCGTTTTCACTGTCAACAACAACAACGACGACGACGACGACGACGCACAGCTTTGGCGAGCGGCCCCTGCGACAACACCGAAAGTTAGTTCTGACGCCCGGGCGTCAAGTCAAGGTTTTCATGACGGAACAAAGCAAACAAACTCGAAAAAAGCACCGTCTCATCGCCGCAGCTTGGGAATGAGCGCGGTTGTTGCATCTTGCGCGTTGCAGCGATCTTCTTCGAGCAGTAACAGGATATACACTCAGGCGATGCACAGCAGTGGATCAAAAGCGGACAATCGCCTGAACGATCGAACCACGGCGTGGTGAACCACTCACGCATGCACAACGCGCACACAAATAGCATGCCGTGTGCACTTTAGGAAGAAGAGAAAATACTGATAGTAGTCATGAAATGATTTGAGACAAGTGTCAGCTCCTCGATTCCCACAACCATCGTACATGGTTGCATGTATGCATAGCAGCCCCCATAAAAAGCGGCTGCAGAAGCAAGCAACCATCACGCCTCAATCCGCATGGGCTCCAAGCCCAGCGCCGACTTGATGTTCCCGCCATCCCCGACGAACAACCACCACCTCCCCACTACTTGCATTCAACACAACAGCCTAAAAAACGCCCTACATTTAAGACTCTCTTGATTTGAAACCGTCGCCGATAGGAGAATCTACTCGACGGGTGGTGCCTATCCACCTACGAGGTAGATTCAACGGCAGCATCAGTGTAGTAGAGATAGGAGAAAAAAATGAACCTGGAGAAACGTTTGCTCGTGACTGTTCGGACCACGCCCAGCAACCTCTACTTGCTAACCCAGAAGCGCTACTTGTGTCAAAAAATGTCCTCGAGGTGTTCTCCGTGGTGTTCCTTAATCATTCCGTCTTCCGACGCGCAGGAGAAATGCCTGCATACCCCTGTCGCCAAAGCAATTCCTCATTCGAAGGGAAGGATGGAGACGCAATCGGACTGGCCCCAACATCTTCCGAAGGACGGGGCAGGCACCGTCAGCACGACCCCAAAAGTCCACTCGGAATCAATCGACAACACCGTGCCCTTTTGGCACGCCCCTGCACTACAAAGTGCAGTCAGTGAGGCTCGAGACCGTACAAGGCTTGCCACGCGAGTAACGTCGACGCCTCGTGGTCGTGCCGTGCTAAGCACGAAACGAAACATTAGAGACAGGGGGGCACCGCGAATTCGTGCTGGCAATCGTCACTGGACCGACACAGGTCAGTCATGTTGAGTTCATCCTGTGGGCGACCGGCCGTCACGGCCTCCTCCGTCCTCCCTTCAAGGCTGCTGTTGTTTGCTGTAGATCAACTGCGTCATGGCCTACTCCGTCCTCTCTTGAAGGCTGCTGTTCTGTGCTGTAGATCACTTCAGCTCATCTTCTCCATGAGCATCGTCATCAGAGTTCATCCTCTGGGCGACCGACCACAACGGTCTCCTCGTCCTCCTCGTCCTCCTCCTCCTTGAAGGTGGCTACTAAGCTGTACATGGGTTCAGCTCATCTTCTCCATGAGCATCATGGCCTCCTTGTGCACCTGGAACTCCTCCATCTCCGCGCTGTTGTAGAACCGTGACACCACGCTCACCTGTTGCAGCTCGAGGGGGGGGGGTTGTACTCATAGTCGTGCATGCCGTAGTCGTTAGACCATTGACCTCGCATCCCTACAAAGCCGGGACGGAGCACGCCGGGTTCTCACCGGACCAGGCTCTCACATCACCAAGCGCGAAGCGCCGTGAGATATTCGGCGAGTCGCATGAAGGGTGCGCTGCATCCTGCTAAGGGTGTTCGGCATCTTGTGCTTACTTCCTTGCGTACGGATGACAGCTGCGTATGACTTGATTTATTTTCTGGTGCTTGACCATTTTAACACAACGTGGTGCGATCATCCCCCTTGCGCGGAGCGAGGGTTATCCACCCCGCACAACATGATCTACTCGACCACCATTATGATTACCGCAAAAAAAAAAAACGGAGGTAAAAAAAAAACGGTAACCTGGTTGCCGAGTTCACGAAGTGAATTGGCTTGTCTTACAACGTCGTTGCCAGGCGACGAAAACCCAACCCAGCAGGTCGAGGGGGGACGAAAGAAAACTACCACTTGGGACAAGAAACTATCATTTGAGTCCCATCTAGGGTACAAGGTGGGGTACATAGTCCATCTTTGGATGTCATGCGTAGGTTCTCAAAATCATGGGAGAGCAGCACTCTACATCCTACTTGCTTGCGTTCAAGAGACGCGTACGGGGCAGAAAGGCTGCCGTTCCCTCGCCATTCTTTCCAAAAACTCCATTCGCTGCTAGTTTTGTTCCTCAACGTAGCTCGTCGGACCATTCCGTTCATCAAATGTTTTGATCTTCACTCCAATGTAAGAATGCAGAAGGAAACGCACGCACACCCCTTGTTTCAAGCGTGACCACAAGAGAAGATGGCACAGGCAACAGGCTTCCAAACATGTGCTAAACAAGTACCGCTACAATCGAGACTGACTTCGGGCGCACCATGGTGTTGAACATCCCCGCGCCCTGGGCCATGTCCCGTAGGGGTAGCGGGGTGTGCATGGCGAGCGCCCAGAGGAGCTGAAACGCCTGCTTGAGGAGTTCAACCCTATCTCTGTCTTCGTGAGGGTCAATTCCCTTGGGGTCGGCCTGGGAGGTACAAACAAGGCAGTGGGGTAAGGGTGTGGCGGCAACAGAACGGCGAAAAGTGCGCGCGTATAATGAAGCACAAGCCAGAAAGCATTGCAACAGCGCGTGCTGACCTTCCAACCCCAAAAAATTAGCAAGGGGTCAGACGAAAACATATGAACAAGAAAAAACACACACACAGGCGCGCACACGACAGAAACACACCAGCAACGCCGCATCGACGCAAAAAAACACAAAAGATGCTCGAAACATCACTTCTCGCTGAAAGCTACACAATCGGCGTTTGTCTCCTTGGCGAGAACGTTCCACCGATGAGGCCTTAAACGCGGGAAGGCGGCGGGGGGGGGGGGG